AAACACCACTCGAGTTCTGATCGGGGGGGCCGTTCCTCCCAATCACGCCCTTCCAGGTCTCACTGTCATTGCCCACGTGAGCATTGAAGTCCCCCAGCAGAACAAGGGAGTCCCCAGTAGGAGTACTCTCCAGCACACCCTCCAAGGACTCCAAAAAGGGTGGGTAGGCTGAGCTGCTGTTTGGTGCATATGCACAAACAACGGTCAGGACCCGTCCCCTCACCCGAAGGCGGAGGGGGGCAACCCTCACGTTTACCGGTGTGAAACCCAATGTACAGGCACTGAGCCAGGGGGCAATGAGTATGCCCACACCTGCTCTATGCCTCTCACCATGGGCAATTCCAGAGTGGAAGAGAGTCCAACCCCTCTCGAGAGAACTGGTACCAGAATCCGGGCTGTGTGTGGAGGCAAGTCCGACTATATCCAGTCAGAACTTCTCTACCTCGCACACCAGCTCGGGCTCCTTCCCTGCAAGAGAGGTGACATTCCACGTCCCTAGAGCTAGCTTCTGTAGCCGAGGATCGGACCGCCAGGGTCCCCGCCTTTGGCTGGCGCCCAGCTCACACTGCACCCGACCCCTTTAGCCCCTCCTATGGGTGGTGAGCCCATGAGAAGGGGGACGCACGTTGCCTCTTCGGACTGAGCCCGGCCGGGCCCCTTGGGTGTAGGCCTGGCCACCAGGCGCTAGCCAACGAGCACCACCTCCAGGCCTGGCTCCAGAGGGGGGCCTGCGTCCGGGCAAGGGAAACTGAGTTCCGTTTATTTTATTCGTCATAAGGGGTTCTTGAGCCGTCCTTTGTCTGGTCCCTCACCTAGGACACACAAACCCCTCTACCACAGTAAGGTGACGGCTCACGGAGGGGATTTATTGAAAATACATGACACGAACACAAGAAGTAGAACGGTTGCTTGCAGGCAAAGGAATCTGAAAGATCTTTTTTTTCCTACCGCAGGCATCTTGGAAGGCTACACACATGCACACACAGCCCTTGGCAGCAATCGTCAACTTCTTTTATGATAGCATTTTGAAGTATTTTGCTGACCTGCCAGCTGATTTACAACCACAATACCGTCAGAAAAGTAATCCGTCTGGAGGAATCGAGCCAAAGGACGCTATCCAAGAGTGATTTTTGGGCAGAGATCCTGACATT